GGCGGCCACCAAATTATGAACGAATCAAAACGCCCTTTCAGAAGTTGTGACGTCAAAGACAAGTCCCCAGGATTTCGAGGACGCCGAAATCGTCCACCTCTATAAGAATAAAGGGAGCGGTAAACTCTCTGACGAGGAATCTGGCTGCTCACGATCGGTATAAAAATCTTCACCCGTGTTATCCTCAATTGCCTCAACAGCCATCTGAAGTAAGGACTCCTGCTGGAGACCCAGTGCGCCTTCCGCCGTCATCGCGGCACCACCGACATTAGCTGCAGGAGAAATGCCAGGAGATGCGAACCCGCCTCTACACGGCCTTCGACACGATAAATTGGGACAAACTGTGGAAAATCATGCAGACATTTGGTTGGCCTGCGCGTTTAACTCACTTGGTACTTCAGCTCCACGACAAGCTGACGACGCACGTCACTAACAACGGGGTTGTGTCCGAAGCATTCACATTGACTAACACAATGAATCCGGGCTGCGTCCTCACACCTATCCTCTTCAGCCTCATGTTATCTACCTCGCTGATGGACGCTTACCGCGATGTACGCCCGGGGATCCGCGTCGCATACAGAACTGATGGGCACCTCAATATTCGACAAATGCAGTCCCCAAGGCGTGTTTCTACGGCTACAGTTAACGACATGTTTTTTGAAGACGACTGCGCTCCGAGACCACGACGAAAAAGGACATGCAAAGGAGCACGGACCTCCTCGCTGCCGGCGTCGTCATTTTTGGCCTAACAGGCACCACGGACAAAATGGCGGTCATGCACCAACCGCCACCTAGTATAAAATGCAATGCTCCTCAGATCGACGTCAATGGCATCCAACGCAAAACTGTGGACAACTTTGCCTATCTCAAAAGCTCGCTGCTCCGGAACAATAGAATCGTCGAGGAGGTTGCTTAAGAGATCTCAAAAGCCATTCAGACATTTGGTCGGCTGCAAGCTACTGTGTGGAGTCGCCACGATCTACAACCGAACATCAAACTACGCTCATCGAGCTCGGAAGCGTGTAATTGAAAAACAATTTTCAAATGGACTTTATTTCCTTGACAAACCAAATCGCCAGTCTGCACTGAGATCAATTAGACCGGAGGGAATTGGCAGTCGAGGTTTGTGTTTCTTATGTGTTTTGGGTGTTCCATATAGTCTGGGGACATGCGTACCTCTAGATTTAATGATAGCGCCTGTGCCTGTGTCTATGCCTGTTTTAAATTCGCTCCGGAAAAAAAATGCTTCAAATCTTCTCAAGTGGTTAGCTAGTTAGGAGACATTTTCGAGAGGTTTCCAATCTATTCTTGCAGCCTCCTTTTGTCAACGCGGCCTACAAGTGTCCATGTTAATAGTTACTATAGAATGAATTCATTGTTCACTCCCACTACGCAATCTAATTTTTCAACATAATATGTATGCTAAATTCGTCAGTCTGTATGCCCAGCGTCCCTTTTCTCTGACTTTAGAGTCAAGATCTTACGGAGACAGCTTACTTGGAGGTAATTTAGCCATCTGACTTACTGTAGTAGATTGTCGAATTTCCCGCCTTGTGTATAGGCGTAGCCAGGGCTATGTAGGTAGTTCCATTTTAACGAGAATTTCGTGTGGATTCCAGACAAATGATCGCAAGCCCATCTTATAATTAATAGTTTGCTCTGATTTTTCGAAAAACACGCATTTGGGTGTTGCTTTGAGTCGAGCTCTACTGAAACCATATTGCCGTTTTATTTCTTAGTTGACGCTAGGTGGAAATCTGAGCAACTAAGTGTCTGCTTCGGTTGTGGCGTTCGGGTTATGAACCCTAAACGTGACTACTATGCTTTCCACTCCCATACTCGAGCTATCTTGGGGCTTCACACCGGCAGCGGAGTTGGTGCCTAAGCCCAGGTCATTCTTTGTGGTAGACGTCAATTACCATGGTAGGATAGAATGAGAACTCTTGGTTAACGCCCTGTTTTACCTCGAAGGCTTCAGAAATTTACCTGTTTTCCGTACGATGTGCAATCATGCCATCTTGTTGGTGTTCCCTCATCAGCCCAAATCTTTAATGAAATCCGAACTTTAACTCTAAATTTCAGTGCTATCAGGATTCTTGATGTTGAACGTCTTCAGTATATCGACAAAGATGTCATAGAGTCTGGTCCTTATATTTGAACATTTGATGGGTCACGAATGTCGTATTTGTAGACATGCGGCAAAGCCACTTCACCTTATCTCAAGCCAACTGATGTACGGTCACTAAGCCGAATGCGACCCAAAAATGTACGTCTGAACGGTTATGTACATATTTGCCTTATAAGGAAGAGGAAGCTGCGATCTCTGGAACGATAGTTTTATTCTGAGCTTTCGGCTACACACGAAGCCGAAAGCCGAAAGCTCAGAATAAAACTATCGTTCTAGGGATCTCGTCTTCCTCTTCTTTATAACCAGAACCTGGGGCACGCGTATTTGCTTCTATTCGTATATTTGCCTTAATTGGAAACACCACCACTCCGTTAATACAGCATGAACAACTGGAACACACCACCCCTCAAATGATGCAGTGCACTTGCCACTTAGATACGATCTATATGAACCCAACTCCGACGTATTTATAAGAGCAGCTGAGAGGCGATTGGGTGGATTGTGTCCAGTACTCTTTAATTTTTTTCTCTCGCTAAATTACACTTTCTCCACATTGGTATGCAGTTAATTGCACATCAGTCGACGGCCAACGTTCCACTTGTCATGGTCGTAAACTTTCATAGTAAATTCCGACCAATGATGGCTCTACAGCACGTAGTTGGTACCGATGCCGTTTACTTTGCCCTATTCTATTAAACTGTATGTTATCGCCTGATCCCTTGCCTAATGGTTATCCCCA